GAAAGTTTTCATCCTTCTTCCTACTCGTTTCTTTAAGTAGATTTATGGGACTTAAAGAGGAGAGATTAATCATCAAAGACCTGCATGTGTCTTCGTTGGGATGATAACTTGTGACCCATGTTCTTTAATCTCTAAGAAAGAAGGAGAGTGTCCTTGCATGTAAGGTCTGATCATGTTTTATGAATGATAGGAGCTTGCATGCATCATTGATCGGATTTGCTATCTTGGAACCTCGTTGGAATCAGATTTATTTGTTTTTCTGGAGTTTGTTCGAAGTTGATAATTTGTATTAGAATTTAAATTCTCTAAAGTGATGAGCTTGAGACCCCTCCCCATAATTGTTGTCATTCTTGGTGCATGCAATCGGTTTTAAAGGCATTACATTGAAAGCAACTTTGCTCTACCTTAAGCAAGAAACCTTTAAGTAATTTAGCACTGGTTATTGGTATGTTCAGGAAGTTCGGGCGAGCTTAGAAAGCCTCAAAAGGAAACCTTCGGATATTCATCAAACTAGTGAGTTCTCACGGCCCCACTTTTATTGCTTTTGTTTATTTATGGGGGAAAAGCGTGAGATTGAGCAAACTTTGCATGTTTATTTTATGTGAAATCTTGGGACTAAAGAACTGTTTAGTCGATGCTTTACTCAAAACCATTGGACTAAGGAACTGCTTAGTCAAGCTGTGTTGAAACCTCTGGACTAAGGAACTGCTTAGTCGGGTTTGCTATGTTTTGTTTTAACAACTGTTATTGCACTTAGAATAAATGCTAAATTGATGTGCTTGGGAGTATAAGTTTCCAAATAAAGTCCTCGTCCGTAAACGCTACTTGTTAACTCGGGCACGTTCCCGGGCCGTGGTAATTATGGATAGCCGCTATTGTGTTGACAGTCCCACCCAGAAAGGGGTGCACATTACCTATGTTTTCTTAGTCTAATCATGTGGAATTTGGACCACCGCTGAATTAGAACTATATCAAACTGTGGGAACCTAAGTTGTGTACGGGCTATTTGTGGTTGTTCGAAAATTAATGGGGCAGTTGGTC